AGGGAGGAAAGGAAGGGAAGGAAGGAAAGGAAGGAAAGAAAGGAAGGAAAGGAAGGAAAGGAAGGAAGGAAAGGAAGGAAAGAAAGGAAGGAAAGAAAGGAAGGAAAGGAAGGAAAGAAAGGAAGGAAGGAAAGGAAGGAAAGAAAGGAAGGAAAGGAAGGAAGGAAAGGAAGGAAGGAAAGGAAGGAAGGAAAGGAAGGAAAGGAAAGGAAGGAAAAGAAGGAAGGAAGGAAAGGAGGAAAGGAAAGGAAGGAAGGAAGGAAGGAAGGAAAGGAAGGAAAGGAAGGAAAGGAAAGAAAGGAAGGAAAGGAAGGAAGGATGGTTGGTTGTAGGCTGGGTGCACCTATAATCCCAACACTTCAGGAAGCCAAGGCAGGTGGATCACTTAAACCCGGGAGTTCCAGGCCAGTCTGGGCAACGTGACAAAACCCTGACTCTATTGAAAAGAATTGTAAAGAAAGAGTGGTTCTTTACCTCCCAGTGGAGATCAATGTGCTCCTGTGAGTGATCAATTTATTTTTTTGATACAGTCTTGCTCTGTCAGCCAGGCTGGAGTACAGTGGCACAATTGGCTCACTGCAACCTCCGCCTCCCGGATTCAAGCGATTCTCCTGCCTCAACCTCCCAAGTAGCTGGGATTACAGGCGTCCACCACCACGCCTGGCTAATTTTTGTATTTCTAGTAGAGACAGGGTTTCACCATGTCGGCCAGGCTGGTCTTGAACTCCTGGTTTCACGTGGTCTGCCCGACTTGTCCTCCCAAACTGTTGGGATTACAGGCATGAGACACCACACCCAGCCCCATTAATTTTCAGTCACTGCCAACTCACCCATCTATCCATGAGTGTAAATTTCGCTTTTCAGCCTTTGAACAAGAGGACTGTAGCCTTTTACGCAGCCCCACGCAATCACCATTGGAGCAACAGTAACGTGGAAACAGGGGCTGGAGCGTCTGGGAACAGCCGCTCTGCACAGCGTGTGGCAGACACAGTCACCTGAGTGCTTGTCCCCGGTGGGAGAAAAAGCCTTCGAGAACTGAGGGTCTGCCAAGCTCTCTGCTGAGCGTCGTGTGACACAGCAGGAAACACGGCCCATTCCTGCCGTCAGGAGTTTGCAAGACGGTTTACGGCAAAGGAAAGCAATCATTTTCGTGCACACACACACACTTGTATGCGGAAGACATCCCATCCTGGGTTTGTGGCTACAATAGTCAAATGCCGTTTCTGCAAACTATTGGTCAGGACATTTCAGGTAAAATGGACAACAGGGCTGGGTGTGGCGGCTCACGCCTGCAATCCCAGCACTCTGGGAGGCCAAGGTGGGCAGATCACTTGAGGCCAGGAGTTTGAGCCAGTCTGGGCAACTTATGAGACCCCCGCCTCAAAAAAAAAAAAAAAAAGAAAACAAAAATTTTTTTTGAAGGTTAGCTGAGGGTGGTGGCGCATGCCTGTCGTTTCAGCTACTTGGGAGACTGACACAAGAGAATCACTTGAGCCCAGGAGTTTAAGGCTGCAGTGAGCCATGACTGTACCACTGCACTCCAGCCGGGGTGACAGAGCAAGACTCTGTTGAGAGAAACAGGAAAAGGAAAGGGGAGAAGGAGAAAAGAACATTCATGACGCGGGTGTTTGCCCGAAGGTTTCAGCATGGTCAGCAGCTGTGGGTGTGTTGGGTTTGGGGTTGTTGGGATGAGGAACAGATGAGCTGCATCACCATCAACCACTTGGGAGTGGAAGCTTTACCTGGGCCAAAGATGATGGGATACAACTGGGTCTCAAATAACTTATATCAGGCCTAAAAATGGAATGCCAATTAGCAACCATACGAAGCAAATAGACAACACCAGGAGATGCCAGACCTCAAGGCAGGTCCCTTAAATTGCATCCCTCCTTGGACACTGACTGTGCAGTGCCAGAGCGGCCAGGCAGCAGGCCAGGGCAGACCTGCAAGGTGAGGCATGCCACACAGAGGGAGCAAAGGCTACGCCACTCTCAGTGCTCTTGGGGTGCAGGGGCAGTGGCAGTGACATCCTCCCAGGCATGATGACGGGCAGGGACGATGGTGGGGGGTGCCTCCACCCACTCGCCATTCTCCATGGTGCAGAGGGAACCTGGCCCAGGTTCTCATGAAGACCGAGGGGACTGGGAGGAACAGACAAGGACCTGAAAAGGCTGCAGGGTTCCTGCCAGGCGGCGCTCCGAGCACAGAGCTGGCATTGTTAGTTTACTGAGGTCTGATGGATATAGAGAACTGCATCCATTTAACTGTGTGGTTTCAATGAGTTTTGACATAGATATGTACACCTGTGAAGCTGTTGCCACAAAGAAGATGGGCCAATCCATTGACCCCCGTATTAGTCTGTTTTCATGTTGCTATAAAGAAATACCTGATACTGGGTAATTTATAAAGGAAAGAGGCTCAATTGACTCACGGTTTGCATGGCTGGGAGGTCTCAGGAAAGTTACAGTCAGAGCAGAAGGTGGAGCAAACACCTTCTTCCCGATCTTGGGCAGGAGGAATTGGCACTTATAAAACCATCAGATCTCGTGAGCACTCCCATCAGATCTCATGAAAACCCCCATCAGATCTCGTGAGAACTCCCTATCAGGAGAACAGCACGGGGGACGCCACCTCCATGATTCAATCACCTCCCACCAGGTCCCTCCCCTGACACCTGGGGATTACGATTCAGATTACAATTCGAGATGAGATTTGGGGGGGGACACAGCCAAACCTATCATCCCCAGAAGCTTCCCTGTGCCCCTGTCACCCCATCCTAGCCCACCCTCATCCCCAGGCAACCTCGGATCTGCTGTCAGGGTAGATTCAAGTGTTTTTTTTTGAGACAGGGTCTCACTCTATTGCCCAGGCTGGAGTGCAGAGGTGCAATCATGGCTCACTGCAGCCTCAACCTCCTGGGTTAAGTGTTCCTCCCACCTCACCCCCTGAATAGGCACTACAGGAGCTCACCACCACACCTCGTTAATTAATTAATTATTATTTTTGAGACAGAGTCTTGCTCTGTTGCCCAGTCTGGATCTCGGCTCACTGCAACCTCCCCCTCCCAGGTTCAAGCAATTCTCCTGCCTCAGCCTCCCGAGTAGCTGGGATTACAGGTGTGCGCCATCACGCCTGGCTAATTTTTTTGTATTTTTAGTAGAGACAGGGTTTCACCATGTTGATCAGGCTGGCCTTGAACCCCTGACCTCAATCCACTCGCCTCAGACTCCCAAAGTGCTAGAAGTACGGGTATGAGCTATTGCACCTGGCCTGAGATTTTGCCTTTTCTAGGATTTCATCAAGGATAGAATTATATGCAGTATTTGGTCGGGCATGGTGGCTCACGCTTGTAATCCCAGCACTTTGGGAGGCCGAGGTGGGCGGATCACGAGGTCAGGAGATTGAGACCACGGTGAAACCCTGTATCTACTAAAACTACAAAAAAATTAGCCAGGCGTGGTGGCGGGCCCCTGTAGTCCCAGCTACTCGGGAGGCTGAGGCAGGAGGATGGCGTGAACCTGGGAGGCGGAGTTTGCAGTGAGCCAAGATCACGCCACTGCACTCCAGCCTGGGTGACAGTGAGACTCTGTCTCAAAAAAAAAATAATTATATGTAGCATTTTTTATTGGCTTTTTTTTTTTTCAGGGTAACGTTTCTGAGACCCATTCATGTTGCATGTGTCAGTAATTCTTTCCTTTTTATTGCTGTTGAGCATTCCCCATGAGGCCGTATCATGGTGTTTATCCATTCTACCTGTTGATATTTGGGTTGTTTCTAAAATTTGGCAATTATAAATCAAGCTGCCATGAGCATTCGTGCACAAGTGTTTGGGAGGCATGCTTTCATGCCTCTTGGGTAAGTGCCTAGACCATGGAATGGCTGGGTCGTAGGCAGGTGTGGGTTTAACGTTTTAAGAAACCCGCCGGGTGCGGTGGCTCACCCTTGTAATCCCAGCACTTTGACAGGCCGAGGTGGCTGGATCAGCTGAGGTCAGGAGCTCGAGACCAGCCTGACCAATATGAAACCCCTGTCTCTACTAAAAATACAAAAATCAGCTGGGCATGGTGGCAAACGCCTGTAATCCCAGCTACTTAGGAGGCTAAGGCAGGAGAATCGCTTGAACCTGGGAGGCAGAGGTTACAGTGAGCCAAGATGGCACCACTGCACTCCAGCCTGGGGAACAAGAGCAAAACTCTGCCCAAAACAAAAAACAAAACCCAAAAACAAACAACACAAAAAAACACCCACCAGGGCTGATATTTTTGAAATCATTGAGACAGAAAGTAACAAGGGCGGCTCCGGCGTGTGCTGTTACTGAGGCTGGGGCCAGGAGGCTCAGTGTGGTGAGCAGTGCCCCGCAGGGGAGCAGGACTAGACATGCTTACTGTGCCCAAGTCAGCACGCTCCTCTCAGATCTCAGGTGGTCTTGAGCAAGAGCTGAGTGCCCCACCATTGGAGACGTTAGGGACCAGCAAATGGGACATCCACAGGCTGCAGCATCTAGAGATGACAGAGTCAGGGGCAGAGTGTTCAGACAGGGCTGCAGGTGACAGTCAAGGACAGAGCACGGAGCGGCTGCAGGTGACAGGTCAGGGACTAGGTACACGGTTGGAGCTGCAGGTGACAGTCATGGGCCAGATGCACAGGCGGTGCTGCAGGTGACAGTCAGGGACCGGAAGCACCAGGCGGGGCTGCAGGTGACAGGGACCTGGTGGACAAATAGGACTGCAGATGACATTGAGGGATCAAGTACACATATGGGGCTTCAGGTGACATGGGCGGACTGAGTGCAGAGAAGCGTCTGAGGATGTCAGCATCAGGGACTGGGGGACACAGCTGCTTCATCAGAAGACAGTGACAGTGCCTGAATAGGAACACCGGGCCTCGAGAGCTCAACCAGTGCAGGTACCTCCTGGCGACAGGGCCAGGTCTGGAGCTGGGAGGAACCCAAGACAGCCTGGCCTACCAGGCACGGGCCCATCCAGAAAGGAAACAGCACCGCTAGTTAACAAAGAACTTTATTATTTCTAATAAATGGTGATGAGGGTGGGGTCTGGAGAGGGCACACAGCTGTCCCCTGTCAATGCGTTGAGGCCCACACTCCTTGGGAGGGGACAGGGGAAGCCCCATGTTCCCCGGAGCCTGTCGCCATGGCCTGCAGCCCTGGACGCCTCTCACGGAGCCGCAGGTCTTCCTCCCCGGCTTTCTGGTCGCGTGGCCACCACAGCCCCATTATTACAGCCAGAGCCCGGGGCCAGGTGTGAGTCGGCCTGCAGCTCTCCGTCTCCGCCAGCCTGGACTCCTGGGAAAGGGGATAAAACGGGGGCTTCCTGGTGCTGGCTAGAAAGCGTGATGCTCTCCAGCCAGGCAGCCCCCTGGTCCTCTGTGCTGTAGCTGTGCCTGGGGGGGCATCGGGGACGCTGTCCCTGTCCCGCAGCAGGTGCCCTGGGGGTTCCAGGTGTGTGGCCGGCCTCAAGCCAAGGGGCCCAGCAGGCCCACCCCGTGTTCTCCACCCTCTGACCCTCGGGGCCCAACCAGTCACCCTCCCACCCCTGTCTGGTCCCGTCCTTATCCAGGTCCCTGTGCTGGGTCTGTAGTGCCTCATCTTTGTCTCCATCTCTTCCTTTCTCCGGGTCCCTGACTTCTTCTCTTCCCGTCCATCCCCCCGTCCCCAGTCCCCTTCCCCGCCCCTCCCCTCCAGCTTGGGGCGATTGAAACCTTGAAGCAGGTTCTGAAGGCCTTCCTGGGTGTTAGCATCCGGGAGGGGAGCGGCCTTGGCGGTGGGGACCGGGGTGGCCGGGAGCAGCAGCAGCAGCAGCAACAGCGGGGGCCACATGGCCTGCGGGCCGGGCGGCTGTGGGGGGACAAAGTGGGCGTTAGAAGCCCCGCCCCCTCTCCACGCCCTTTCCTCTCTGCCCTCTCACTTCTGCGTGCCAGGCTTGCACATCCAGCACCCTTCACCTGCCACCACGGCCCGCCTGTCTCTCTCGAGCAGCCCTGAGTCAGCCCACAGACCAGTCACCGGTCTCCGACTCCCCAGGGATTGTTAGATCCAGACAGTTCTGCCCCAGAGCTGCCCTGGAGCTCGGACGCCTACACAAGCCAGAGCCACGCCCCCGCGTGCTGGCCACGCCCTCGAGTCCAAGCCACGCCCACCAACTGTTAACGCTTCACCCAAGCCCCTACGCAATGACCACGCCCCCACACGTAGCCACACCCATCCCCGGCCACGCCCCCAGAGTCCCGCAGAGTCTCCACTCACCAGCCATGCCCCCACTGCAAAAGGCCACGCCCCTGAGCACGGCCCTGGAGACTCACGCGGGCCTGGCCCTCTTCTGTGATCCCCAGTCCAGCCCCAGTGCAACGGCCCGGGCCCCCGAGTTGAGCCTCATCCAGCATCCGGGCCAGCCTTTGCCACCCTCAGCATGAAACACAGTCGTTTCGGGTCCCTCACTCCTGTTCATTTTCCATTCTTCTTGAACATACGGGGAATATTCATAGTAGCTGTTTTAAGGTCCGGATCGCTAATTCCATCATCTATGCCACTTCTGGGTCTTTGTTATTTTTCTACTCATTATGGGTTCTGTTTTTCTGCTTCTTTGCATGCCTGTTTTTTTTGCTTTTGTGTTTTCGAGACACGGTCTCACTGTTGCCCGAGCTGGAATGCAGTGGCATGATCATAGCTCACTGTTGCCTCAAATTCCTGGGCTCAAGCGATCCTCCCATCTCAGCCTCCTGAGTAGCTGAAACCACAGGTGCACGTAGCCATGCCCAGTTAATTTTTAAAATTATCTTTTGTAGAGATGGAGTCTCACTATGTTGCCCAGGCAGGTCTTGAACTCCAGGCCTCAAGAGATCCTCTTACCTCAGTCTCCCAAACATTACCAATATATTCTTATTTCTTTGAGAATCTTTAGTACAGATGGTACAGTTTTTTCTTTGGTGATTGAGTTCCTCAAATGTCTGGTTATTTTTGTCAGAACTCATTTTCTCCAGGGAAGTGCTGCAATCTTGACTGCAAAGAAAAACCAATCACATAGCTACTTCCTGGTTGGGAGATTAACCCCATTTCTGCTCCTTAGAAGGGTTTTATAGAGGATGTTGGCCGGGCTCAGTGGCTCACGTCTGTAATCCCAGCACTTTGGGAGGCCAAGGCAGGTGGACCACCTGAGGTCAGGAGTTTGAGACCAGCCTGGTCAACATGGTGAAACCCCATCTCTACTAAAAATACAAAAATTAGGGCCGGGCGCGGTGGCTCATGCCTGTAATCCCAGCACTTTGGGAGGCCGAGGTGGGCGGATCACGAGGTCAGGAGATGAGACCATCCTGGCTAACACGGTGAAACCCCGTCTCGGCTAAAAATACAAAAAAATTAGCCAGGCGTGCTGGGGCGGGCGCCTGTAGTCCCAGCCACTCCGGAGGCTGAGACAGGAGAAAGGCGTGAACCCGGGAGGCGGAGCTTGCAGTGACCCGAGATTGCGCCGCTGCACTCCAGCCTGGGCGCGACAGAGCCAAACTCTGTCTCAAAAAACAAACAAAATAAATAGAGAAGGGGCCTGGCTGTGCTGCCCAGGGTGGTCTTGAACTCCTCAGCTCAAGATCCTCCCATCTCAGCCTCCCAAAGTGCTGGGATTACAGGTGTGCCTGGCCTGCTTCCCTTCTTTGAAGAGCTTGGCTTCCTCTTATCTGGACATAATTTAGGATGGAATAAGGAACAGTGGATGAATTTTTGGCCTCAGGTATAAAGAAGTAGTCTTGCGTTTGTATCTTTTGACATAAAAGACAAAATTGAAAAGTTCGCCAACCCCAAGTCAAGCACCAGCAAATATGGGTGTGGGTGGAGAAAATCTCCTGTGAAATGGGCACTTCCGGTGGGGGTGAAGGGTGAGCCCCTGCCTTGCTTAACACTGCCTGGTAGTTCTGCCCAAAGGACTAAGAGAGCAAAGTGAGCCACTGTGGGGGAATCACACCCCCAAGTCGCAACCAACTCCCAGATTCCCCCTCCTTCGCAAAGCATTAGTCACCTGTTCACACTTCAGCTTAACCCTCAACGAGTAAGGTGGAATGAAAAGCACATGGCCGGGCGAGGTGGCTCACTCCTGGAATCCCAGGACCTTGGAAGGCCAAGTTGGGTGGACCACTTGAGCCCAGGAGTTTGAGTCCAGCAACACAGCAAGACCCCGTCTCTATGAAAAAATAAATAAATAAATAAATAAATAAATAAATTAGCCAGGTGTGGTGGCATGCACCTGAAGTCCCAGCTACTCAGGAGGCTGAGGTGGGAGGATCATTTGAGCCCAGGAAGGCGGCGCTGCAGTGAGCTGTGATTGCACCACTGCACTGCAGGTTATGGTGAGAACCTGACTCTAAAAATAAAAGAAAAAAAAAAATGCCTCGCCACCAAAAAAAATTAGGCACACATAGTCTATGCCATCCAATGTCACGTCCTTTTTGCTGTGCTTTTACAAGCTCAGCCAGCCCCCAACCAAAGTGTTTTTTTTTTTTTTTTTCTTTAATGGTGCAAAGTCTTTGTGACCCGTTTCTTTCATTCACTTACATCTGTGCTGTTAATTGTGTAACTGAGATTTCCTCAAAGGTTTAACTGAATACTTTTTAAATAATTTTCCATCAAATCAAACTCAGCATTATATTCATTCACTGCCAAGAAAGGTCACCTCTAAGGTAAAAGTTAAGATGAATCCCGAATTTAGAAATGCGGAAGAACAATTTGTTTAGGGAAATATGAAATGTTACATATTAGCTTCTTTATTGAAGAGGCAGCTCAGACCCATTTATATATGCAAAAGTATAGGATGACAAAGTATGTAATGACTCTTTAACCTTCTCAAATATTTCACTTAAAATATACATTATGCTAAGCCTTAAGGACAGCATAGGAAATCTTAGTAGTTGCCATCAAAATTACTATAAATATGTATTTCCTGCACAGAATTATGCAAAATCTACCATTTAATTCCTGTTATGCAGCATATTCATACACATCTAGAAAAATATGAGTAGAGTGACAAGTAACACAAATGTTAGCCATTTGTGATTTTAAAAAACTTTTATGGAAAGTGTAACACACATGCAGAAAAATACACATACCTTAAGTGCACAGCTCAGAACACACTCAGATATTTAGCACCCAGATTTAGAAACAGATTATTCCCAGCACCAGATAAATGCCCCCTTTCAGCCTTGGCCAAGACTAACCGCTATCCTAACTTCAAACCACATGGACAAGTTTTGCCCGTCTTTATAATTTATACAGAAGGAACCATACAGCATGTTGGCTTTTGTGTCTGGAGTCTTTCATTCAGCAATGTTTGTTAAGTTCAGCTACATTATTGCATGAACTTCTAGGTCATTCGTGCTGTTTTACAGTATACCATAGAAATAATGCCACTTGTTTATTCATTCCATTGCAATGTGCCTTGATAGTTCTGTTTTGTGCAGTTTTATGCTATAAATATTCTACGTGTCCTTTGGTGGACAGACACATGCCTTTTTGCTGGGTTTGGGTAAAAGGGTATACTTGGTTTTAAGTACCAGCTTTCAAAAATGGTTTTATGGATGAGCAATTCCACCAGTAGCGTACAGTTCCTCTTGCTTACATCCTTGCCAAAAGGATGCTTTTTCATGCTTTTCATTTTAACCATTTCCATGGATGGGTAGCAGTACTACATGGTGTTTTAAATTTGCATTTCCCTGATTACTAATAAAGCTAACATCTTTTCATGCTTAGTGGCCGTCTGGATATCCTCTAAAATCTTTTGCCTTTTCCATTTTCCCCCTTGATTTGTAGCTGCTCTTTACATATTCGAGATCAGGGGCCAGAAAACTATGAGTGCAGACCAAATCCAGACTGCCACCTGGGTTTATGAATGGTTTTACTGGGAAGCAGTCATGCTCATTTTTTAAAAATGCATGGTGTATGGATGCTTTCACACAATAGCAAAGATAAGCATTTGTGACAAAGCCAAAAATTTTCACCATCTGGTACCTTGCTAAAAAGTTTGCCAACACTTTTGCTATACTCAGTGCTGTTGTCACATACATGAACTGCAAATATCTTCTCCTCCTCATGGTTTCCTGTTCATTTTCTTACTGGTGGTCTTTCTGATAAATAGAAGTTCTCAAACTTACTATTAAGTTCTATTTTATGGGTTAATGCTTTTTTGGGTCTCAATAAACCTTTGCTTACTCCAAGATTACAAACTGTCCAAGATTTCTTTGTAAAGCTTTCACATTTCATATCCAGATTTGCAATCCACCTTCAACTGACTTTTTATTAAATTACAAAATTTAATTGGCAAAGCACATTTACTGGAAAGAACACCCTTTCCCCCACTACACTTCAATGTCACCTTTCTCAAAAGTCAGGTGATGGTATACATGTGGGTCTACTTTTGAATCTGTATGCTATTCCACTAGTCAGTTTTTTCATCCTTGTGACAAAATAACACCATAATTTATGTGGCTTTATAACAGGTCTTGATATTTGGAAATTTCAATCCTGTCTATTCTACAAGATAGCTTTGACAATTATTGGCCTTTTGAATATGCATATGAATTCTAGAATTAGCTTAATTTACATTAAAGAATTTGCTAGGATTTTAATTAAGGTTGCAATGAATTTAGGGAAAAAGCAACGGTTTTGAGATTGTCCTGGAATCCTATCTCTCTCCTCCTTTGTAATTTTCTTTTCTGGATACAGTTCTTCAAAGCTTATTAACTCATTTTTACCCCCTAGGCACTTGAGGGATCTTTTAAGTGGCACTGCTTTTCAAAATTTCATTTTCCATGATTTTTGCTGGTATGCCATAAAATGCTTTTTGCATAACTTTTATGCAGGGAACTTACCAAATTTACTCATGACATCTGCAAACAGAGATTTATATTCTTTTTCTTTTTTAAAATTTTACTTCTTTTCTAATCTTTATGCCTTTTGTTTCTGTTTCTTGCATTAGTTTTCTGGTTAGGTCCTTCTGAACAATGCTGAATAAAATCATTGACAGCAGATATCCTTGTCTTATTTTTATAATCTTAGGAGAAATGTTCACTATTTCATCATACTGTTTGTTGAAGTCTGTTTATGCAATTAAGGAAGTCCCTTTCAATCCATCATTTGCTAAGATCATAAATGAACATTAACTTTACCATAAGAACGTTCTGCATGCCAGATTACTTTTCTACAGGTGGTGTACAATAGCAACTGATTTGTGAGTATTAAGCCACCTTTGCACTCCTGGAACACAATCTATTTGATTACCATTTTACCTTTTTCCAGAACAAACCCATCTTTGTTTTGTTTACCCAGTATCTGGTCATATGACCACTATAAAACAAGTTACTGGCAAAGAGAATGGAATCATTATTATTTTGACTAATCAGGATTCCCCTGTGTCATGTGAAGCAGTAGCTACCTAAACTGTTCCAGCAAGAAATGGAGTGAGGACATTAAGTTAATTGACCAAAAAATATCTGCTAGAAACTTGAATCAATTTGTTCCAAAATACTGGGAAAAAGGGGAATGCACAAAACAATGACACTGTATTTGTATCAAAGAGAAGTTTCTGAATAAAATTTCTAAATTACAAAATATTGGCACTAGGCACACTGAAAACTATGGGTTGAAAAACAAGG